GAGAGATTTCAAGTTGTACCTTGGAGCCACTGATGCAGATGAAAGGTGTGAGACTGCGGCTGAGGGGGCTTTGCACAGTCATGTGTAATACAATGGCTTTAATCTGGAGTTTAAATGAGGTCTGTGCAAAGTGTGTGTGTTTGCGTGTGTGCGTTTGTGAGAGAGAGAGAGTGTCTAATACATGTGGAGTAACTCTAAGCTTGCGAAAAGTTAGCTGGGAACAAGGTAAGATGATACAGCACAGGCCTTTCTGCGATTGAGGCATTTACTCTACTGACACTGGCACAACAGCGGGGCTGATGATCTCACCGGGCTGAATCACTGAAAGAAACAAGGACAAAGAGGCCAGGCTGGCAGATAGAGGCAGTAATAGGCTCGGCTTTAGCTCTGGGAGACAGCGAGATTGGCCTCACGTACACTCAGATAAAAGCCACGAAAAAAAATCTTGTGAATAGCTGAAGTTGTTCTGTGAAACATCGTAACCCACAGAAAGTCTCGTTTCACGCTTGACATTTCTTTCTTCAATGAGCGTAGTTATTCTCTGATGTCCTCATGGGGTGAAACATGTGATGAACTTCATTACTCAAACTAAGGGGATGAGACTGTGCCTCGTGTGCTGCAAAAACAATACTGCTTAGCAGGGTTTTTCTTGCAGCAGCTGTAACAAACACTCACTTAAGCTTCAAAAATACAACACATCTATCTCCTGCTTTAATCTAGGAGGGGAGCATTAACAGATTTTAGTGGATATAAATAGTTTTTATTCAGAGATTTTTTTTATTATGACAGTCGTTCCCAATTTGATGCAAAGATTTGCAGAGCTCAAAAGACCAAGTCCTGCAGGGCCTCTCAAATTCATTTTTATCCTTTTTTATGCTTTCTTTATAAGTGATTTAAGAACTGCTTACTTTGCCTTCGCCTCAACAAGAAAAATATGAAAAATAAGAAAGAATAAAAGGATGCACACTGTGTTTTTCTTACCCGCCCCGAAAAGATGATTTCTGATTGATCCAAACTGCAACGTTTGAAGCTGACATCGCTGCACTACGCTGCTTTTATTGTAATATAAACATGCAGTGTAATGTACACGTTATGACACGCATGGGCTTGAGCCAGCTAATAACGCCCTGAAAGGAAAGCTAAACTAATCTTCTGTTAAAAATATCTGACTGAAATATGAAAAATCTGGCTAAAATCTGGTGTTAGAAAATATTAGAGGAAGTGTTAAATGTTAAAAAAACAGTCCCATATGGCATAACAGGTTTTTCACTCCAGAAAAAGGAGATGCTAATATTTAAAGTCGTTATAAAAACGAATTGTTACTTCAGTATGCACAGTCACTTACTAGACTTGTAAACATCCTGTATGTCAGAGAGTTCACTTTACTTAGTTTCCAAATCTTCATTTCACAGCAGAGGACTGGAAAACAACTTGTGCTGTAAGTCCTGGTCAGGTGGGGAATAAAGACCTCAGACTAATCCTATAATTTATTAGAACATGTGTCATTACATTATGATAAAACTGTGCTGCCGTACCAAATGCACAGAGCCTAAAGGAACATCACAGTGCAGAAAAATGTGGTTAAAAAGTAAAAGCAGATTAATGCGAGATTATTCAAGGTCGTTCATTCTGGAGAAATTGGTTTTTTCATACTTATGTGTGAATATTCATGTTTTCTTCAGTCATTGATTCACAGGTAGACTCCATATT